TAAGCATCCATTGTACTTTAACTAATAAAACAAAAAGAAAGAAGATTTTGCACACTGTCATACAGAGAAATCATTTGGCAATTTGTTTCGATGAACATTGCCACATTCACGTCTAGTTTCATCTGTGCATTACCAAAACCATATCTCACATATTAATTCAAGTTCAGAATTTATGGGTCCAATTAACTTGTAATGGAGCTTAAATGCCACTAATTATACAGGGAAAAAAATACAAAAATTTCAATTAGCGCCGAGGTTAAAAATCTCAAAGTTGAACTCAACTCATTTGTAGTCTTAAGCAAAGCTAAAGCTTTTAGTGAGAAATGAGATGCAGGAATTTTTTTATCAACAAATTTATCTCGTTGGCTTGAGTTGGGCTCATACGTCACCAATTTTCATTAGATTCAATGCGATCCGATTATATATAATTGTTTTATATATTTTGATTATGCACATTTTATAGACAAATATATTTTAAGATGGGTCTTATTAACATGTACCCGTATGACACATGATAAAAAAAAATTAAAAATATTGTATATTTTCTATTACACTCACTTTCATGCATAACATACAAACAAACAAAGCATGTGCCCTAAGGTACACGTTAGCAAAATCCTTTTAAGAAATCTAATTTACTATTGAAAAAACCAAAATAATAATAATAATAATAATAATAATAATAAAGAGTTTAATACCTAAAAGTCATATTTACAAATGTTATGGTAACTTAAATCTTATTTAAAATTTTTAACCATGACAATAATTTCAAAGAAATAATAATAATAATGATAATAAATTAAAATTTTTATTAAATTAACATCTTAATTGATTGTATTCACAACTTTTTCTATCACGCGTGAGCCTCAACCTAACTCCATCAGTAACATTTGTGATTCACAATGCCACTGAAAGAATAGTGGTTTTATTCGGTGTTCCTTCCTATAAATTGAAAATTGATAATTAAAAATTAAAAATTTAAAAATAATTAGTTTTTTTTTTCTTCTATATATTTAATTTTTTTTTATCTAATAATTTTATGCAGAAATCATGCTAAATAATGTAGTACAGATTCTCAAATTAAATAAATAAAATTATATAACTCATATTAGCTGCACCAAACAATCCCAGTGAACTTGTTTGAAAGCTGATTAATAGAAAGTACAAGTCAAATATATTATTTTTTTAACTTTTAAATAATCAATTTTTTTCAATTTCTTTAAATTATTTCTGCCTAATAAACTTAAGCAAAAATTACACCAAACAATTTAATACAAATTTTTAAAAAATCAAAGGACAAAAATTAAGCAGTTCATACATCTGCACTAAATAGCGAAGTCGTGTTGGTGTTGTGCCTAAGAACATTGTGTTGTAAAGCCCATTGGGGCATGTCCCAAACCCATTTCGATGATCAAAATAATTTATATTAGGAGATTCATCGAGTAGATTATTCACTAAAAAAATCAAATTTATTCAACATTTATAACTCTATAATAAGATCACATTTATCTTTTAAAAAAATAATAATAATAAACTATCAACATGATTTTGACAGTTTTTTAGAAAACAATTAAGAGTTAATTATGGGATTACATATACATAATTAATCTTATTTTTTATAAATAATATATTTGACCAACTCTAGAATTTTGACAATATACATAATTAATCTTATTTTTTATAAATAATATATTTGACCAACTCTAGAATTAAACAATTTAAATTGTCAAAATAAGTTGGGAACAAATCGCGTGAGTCCTGTCATGTCCACCAAACAGCCCCCCTAGTGCATCAAGAATGATTCAAGTGGAAGTAAATAAAAGTCAACGGGGGACCATTAATAAAATTGATATTTCAAACTTTTAGAATACATTATACAAATACATTATACACTTTTCTAAAAGACTAAAAGAAAGGTGGCCAAACATGAATATTTCAAAGTACGTATTGACCGCATAGGAAAACAACTCCATCAAATTCTCGGATTCACATAATAACTTAAATTAGTAAAACTGTGACATGGTTTCATAAATAACAAATATAATATAAAGCTAAATATAATTTGTCAGGAAAATTAGAATTATATTCATTCTTATTTTGTTTATACAAAAATAAAAATAAAAATTGTTATTTTGAGAACTACTTTTAATATTGCCTAAGATTTTCTAGTAAATTGTCAAAACAAATATATTTAAATATTATTATAATGCTATGTTGATCAAATTTGAATACTAAATTCTAAATATCATCTGATATATCACTATATATTGGTATAAAACATAAAAAGCCAACCCATTAATCGAACGACACTAGTAACTCATTGAATGATTTCTAAAATTTAGTCACCGTAACATTATTAATTTATATAATATATTTGTGAAATAATTTGGGAATAACATCTGTCTAGTTTAGTCTTTTAAAACTAACTTGGATTTTTTTTTGTTTTACATATTTTGTTACCTTTAAAAAGAAATTAAAAAAAATTCTTATTTTAATTATTTTTTGAATGCACTTAATCAATATGCAGTTAAAAAAAATTATTTTTAAGGAAATATATAACAAATTCACTAAATATGAAAGAAAAAATTAAAAAAAGACAAAAAAAAATCTAAAAAAAAAATGTAAAAAATATGATTAAAATATTAAAAAAATTACCAAAGATAAAAAAATATATATATGAAAAAATAAAAATTCAAAAATAGTTTTAGAGTTTTGTTTTTTGTCGATGTTATTGGAATTATAATGCTTATAAATAAATAAATAAATAACATAAAAAATGAATATCTCCATAATTTTTTTGAAATTTTATAAATTTTTTGATACACAAATTAGTCACAAAAATGACCAAAGAGTCCTTTAAAGAAAGGGGAAATATCACATTAGTAGGGCGTAGAAAAAATAATTATAAATTAATAAAAAAATTATAAATATTAATAATTAAATTTATAAATTTTTTCATGAATTTATATTTTTTTCATTGGGGATGTAATAACCCCACGTAGGGGTGCTATCCTGCATATAGGCACATAAGTAAAATAAAATGATCAAATATTACTTTTTATCTCCTAATAAAGTTTTTTTTTAATAGGGTTACAGACGTCAACTATATTTGGATACACCTGCCGAGTATGAAATAAATAAATAAAAGGATTAAAAAAATAAAAAATAAATAAAAAGAAACGAAAAAAAAGTCAAAACATTTGTCTGGACGGCGAAGCTTTTAGATTGGATTCTCACTGAGCCACCCTCACCACCATTTATGACTTTTAAAAAAACAAAAAAATGAGATTGTGGTATGTGGCATTTCATTACTCTCTCTCTCTCTCTCTTACGGAACATTTTAAAATTTGAAAGATTCAAAGTCAATTGTATTGGTGGAATACCTACAAGACCCTCCATTTGGATTTAAATGTTTCATTTTACAATAGAACCCCTTATACTTGGGTAGATGTAATTTGTTACCCAAATTTATTTATTTTTTTTCAATTGACCCCCTGAGATCACTAGATTCTTGATCGAGTTTATTTTGAATTTCTTGTAGAAATTGCTTCCACTCCAAATTTACTTCAATGAAAGGCAGGATTGGAAAATTCTGTCAATTCTAAATCTTTCCTTATTATTAGAGAAAATCGAAGGGTTTATTTTTTATAATTTAAAAGGTGAGTAAAAAAAGTGAAACTTCTTCTCAGCCACGGGAATAGGGAAATGGAAGTAAGTCATGGACTTTGCCAAACACTGTTCAATGCATTGTGCTAAACGCTATACAACTCTCCATTTATTAGGTTAGAAGTAAGTCTTGAACTATTTGTAACTAATGTAGGGTGGGGTTGGATAGAGCTTATGATTACTAGTAAATGTTTTATTGTGTTTTCATTTTCTTCATTTTTTTTTTAATTTTTGTCTTGTGTTTTCATTTTTGTTTTTAATTTTTGTCTTGTGTTTTCAAAAACAAATAATTAAAATTTCAAAAACACCCATCTTTTGCAAAAACAACTTCTAAATTTTGCAAAACAAATTTTTGATGTAAAAAAGTGAGTTATTCTAAAAAATAAGTTTTGAAAATAGTTCACCAAACTAGTTTTCTGAATTGTTGATAAATTAAAATAGGAAAGAAAAAAAAAAGTATTTAGATATCGAAGCAACTAAAATTCCTTTTTCCTTGCTTTTTTTTCTTGTCAAAAGTTTAACAAAAAACTAGAGGGCAAATTGCACTCGTAGTCCTTATAATTTATCTCTTATCTCAATTTAATCCTTATAATAACTGAAATCAAATGAAATATTTTGCCCTTGATTTTTGTTCGCTTTCTTCATGAATGTTATCAATTAGATTAAATTGAAGTAATTTGAAAAACTAAAGAGAGAAATTGACACAATGTAAACTTCAAGCACCAAATCGACAAAAAAAGACAGACTAAAGACAGACTACAGGGGATATAGGTATAATTTGTTCAACACTGTTGTGTCTTTTCCAACAATAAGGGGTAACATTGAAAATAATCCAAAGTCCAGGGCAATAGTATAAAAACTTAAAATATGGCAAACAAAGAAGTAATAAACAAATGACAAAAACGGTGGGAGCACATACCGATGGTGCGATATGTATCAATTAATATACCAACTAATACTATGTCATTATTATTGACCTCACTTATTATACAAATTATAAATACTCAAAATATCTAAAATTAAGTCACGTCATTTATTAATATACTACTTAATATATTGATTAGTACGTCTAGTATTATTCATAAAGTACACTCCATTTCATAAATGTTAATTAATGAGGGCAACTAGGTCAATTTAGTACAGCTGCTTAAACAAATTCATTGTTCCAAGTTTCAAATCAATCTTTCAAAACCATCTCTATCACCAGTGTAGATAACAACACGCATTTTCATGCAAGAAGTTTCTTATCTTTTCTTTTCCCCACATTCCACCTTCAATATATATATACACTTTTTCAATGAAAAATTATTGATATATGAACCTATATATATATACCCATGACTCCATGAGCTCTCTCTTGTATCCAAAATGGAAACTCTCAAAATCACAAAAAAGCACCACAAACATCTCAACAACCCCTTCCCTTCAAATCCAAAATCTCTCCCTTGTATTCAAGGAACTCTATCTTTCAATCCCCAAACACTCCCTTCACATCAAATCTTTTGCATTGGGAAGAATTTTCAGTTGACTTGGCAATCCAAGAATGGTGGGTCTCTCTCAATTTCTCATCAATCTCAGCCCAACAGACCCATATGGTCTACCATCCCTGGACAAGCCTTTGTCTCTGCAGCATTGGCTGAAACAGAGGTTGAAGAAAGCAGGGGATCATTTGTCATAACAGACAAAGATGTTCATTTGGTATGTAATCATCAAACTATTGAAGATATAAAGGTGATTAATCAATCTGATCATAGCCTAGAGGGAGAAGACAATGATTTGTCATCTGGGTATGACAAAAAAAAAAATCCAAATGATACCCAATTCCCTGTATTGTTAATTACAGGTAGGATTTTCAGTGTTAACAGAGTGAAAAAGAAAATTCGAAATTCTGGAATCTATGAGGAATCAGAGGTTTTGGAAAATGAACCTTTTGTTTCTGCAAGGTATTGGGTTTTCTTTGATCAAAATACCAGTAATCAAATTGGGTTTGAAGTGAAGCTTGGAAAACCCAATTTTGAATCACAACAAAGTATTTCACCAAGAACTTATGGAACTCAACAGGGCTTTTCGCGGAGGCTGAGCCGGTTTAGGAGTCGACTTGGTTGGTCTGGGCATCTTTTAAAGCGAACAGCTGTTGTAGCAGCTGCATCAACAAATCAAGAAAATGTGATGATGAATGGTGTTGAATGCATGGAATTCAACAGGGTCTGTCTTACGTATTCAAGCGAAAAAAATGAGAGATTTTATGGTTTTGGAGAGCAGTTTTCTCACATGGATTTCAAAGGAAAAAGGGTACCTATTTTTGTTCAAGAGCAGGGGATTGGAAGAGGAGATCAACCAATAACCTTTGCTGCTAACTTGGTTAGCTACAGGTAAGACTAAATTCTAGTCTTTGAATCACTAGCATTTAATTATTAATCACTAGGATTGTTGTACTTAGAAAAAGTTATCTAATGCAGGGCTGGCGGAGATTGGAGTACAACCTACGCTCCTTCACCTTTCTATATAACATCGAAAATGAAATCTCTGTACCTTGAAGGATACAAGTATTCAGTTTTCGATCTAACAAAACATGACAGAGTTCAGATACAGGTAACACTTGGATGTTTATACTTTGTTTTTCTACCACTTTGGAGTTAAATCAGCTGATGAAAATTCAGCACCGAATTTTCAAATGATTATAACGAAAAGCAAACCAATACATGATTAAAAAATTAGACTCATTTAAAAAAGAGGACATTTTACGAAAAGGAAAAATGGGTAGGTGAAATCTAACTTTTTGACCGCCCTTAACAATGGAGGCGAGCCCACACAGCACACGGTATGGCCCCACTCTATTGTGAGAGGCAGTGAAAAAGGTTAATGTCTGTAATATTTTCCCATTTAAATTGCATAGTAGCAGTTTCTCATTTTCATTGGTTTGGGTATGTTTGCAGATGCATGGAGATTCTATTCAAGGTAGGATATTGCATGGGAATTCACCTTTGGAGTTTATTGAACAATTCACCGAAGTCATCGGAAGACCACCAGAGCTTCCTGAGTGGATTATATCTGGTGCCGTGGTTGGAATGCAGGGCGGCACAGATCTTGTACGAGATGTTTGGGACAAACTACAGACCTACGATGTCCCCATTTCAGCATTCTGGTTACAGGTAATGCATGTACCTACGTGAAAATATATGAAATAACACTATCAATGACATGCAAATTCTTTTTCTCTATTTTATGTACTGATTCAGAAAAAAGTTTAGAAAACCTTTATACTGCCTATTTTAAGCCATATAAGTCTCAACTTCCTCCTAGGGGGAAAAAAAATGTAAAATAAATTCAGGAACCTGATTTGTTTCCATATCAAAACTAATGTCGAAATTTCTATTAAAAGAAAAAATCTGCCTATGAAAATAACCATTAACCATATATACATAAAGGACAAAACATTAAAATTAAAGCAATAAGCATAATGCCTCACTCTATTGTAATTGTTATATGCAGGACTGGGTGGGTCAGAGGAACACAGTAATTGGATCACAGCTTTGGTGGAATTGGGAAGTAGATACAACGAGGTATTTTGGGTGGCAGCAACTAATTAGACATCTTAGTGCTCAGCATATTAAAGTGATGACATACTGCAACCCTTGCCTAGCTCTGGTGCTTACCTTCAACCCTACTAATGCTCTTCTAATTTTTTTTTCTCGAAATTGTTTTATTTGAGAACATACTGGTCGGCATATGATAAACACGTTGATTGTTAATTTCTGACATGTACATTTGCTATGTTAGATGGATGAGAAGCCAAACAGAAGGAGAAACCTCTATGAGGAGGCAAAGGAGTTGGATATCTTAGTCAAAGACAAGAACGGTGAACCATACATGGTTCCCAATACAGCTTTTGATGTGGGAATGTTGGATTTGACACACCCACACACAGCAGGTTGGTTCAAGCAAATTTTACAGGAAATGGTGGATGATGGTGTCAGAGGATGGATGGCTGATTTTGGTGAAGGCCTTCCTGTGGATGCCACCCTTTATTCAGGTTTGACATTCAGACTTCTTTTTTGAACTAGCAAGAATTCTACCAACATATGCCATATCTATGTTTGCTTGCAAGATAAAAATACAGGATTAATGGCCCAATAGGGCTTGCATAATCCCATGCTGGTTGAGAAAAAAGGGTCCAAACTAGTGATCCTGCACTTTGTGTGGGAACTAATACCAATCCAGTGGTATTAGTCACGCTGCAATAAGGCCTGGCATTAGATTATCTCTAGCATACCATCCAATGGTCAGAAATAATTGGTCCCACTTTATCCAACCCTAATCAAACATAGTAAAAGAAATCCTATCAAAAAAATTGAGTCTGATAGTATGTATAATCCAGTCAATTATCCCAAGGGATTACTAATTCCCTTTAATCCAATCCCGCAAACAAATATAGCATGTAAGATCACATCCAGACTTGCATGATGCATGTAGTAGAACAATACAACCTGCTTGAATTGTACCCATTTCCTACTTTCTCTATAAAGGAAATTTGTATAGAAGAATGAAATCATCCAAGAAGTCTTAATGTGCGAGGCTTCTAATTACTGAAAAGCAAAATATTGTCATTCCGCTACGAGCTGCTCATAGCTTGAGGCATCATGACTTTATTTTGTAATGTTTCCAAGACTCAAACATCAACATCTATCAAACTAGTTACGCAGTTATAGTGCTTGGTTTTATGTAACTTTGAACTTCACATGGATGTCAAAATTATCAAACTCATTCTTCAAACTTGAACGAAGATATAATGAGAAAGAGTACAGCAGCATAAAGAAAAGAGTTATTTCAGATCTAAGAGAAATAAAATTCTCTTCAACCTATCTTTCATTATTCACTACCCCAAGCAAACAAGAAGGACAATAAACATGCATGCGCAAGCACACACAGATGCAGAGTTCTTTTACTATTTCTCTAAACAATTGTACATGTACCAAAACTAATCAGGATGATTCACTCCCCCTTTAGGTGAAGATCCCATCTCAGCCCATAACAGATACCCGGAATTATGGGCCAAAATAAACCGGGAATTTGTGGAAGAATGGAAAAGTAACCGTTCGGGTGAAGAGAGGGAAGACCCAGAAGAGGCCTTGGTTTTCTTCATGAGGGCTGGTTTCAGGGATAGCCCCAAATGGGGAATGCTATTCTGGGAAGGCGACCAAATGGTGAGTTGGCAGGCTAATGATGGGATAAAGAGTTCTGTTGTTGGCTTGTTGAGCAGCGGTATTTCAGGGTATGCTTTCAATCACAGCGATATCGGAGGCTACTGTGCTGTAAACTTACCTTTTTTCAAGTATCAAAGAAGTGAGGAATTGCTTCTGCGATGGATGGAACTTAATGCATTTACAACTGTCTTCCGCACCCATGAGGTATGTCAAAAAGCTTCCACATGGGTTAAAAAAGCATGTAAAATCCATAAGTCATCATCATTATCACCCCTAGCAATTAACAATTTTAGCTGCTTTGACATTGGAAACAACGGGCAGAGAAATGCCTTAACATAAAAAGATCATGCCTAGTGCACAAAACTCCTGCTTATAGTAGGGTATGGGAAAGAGAGTAGGTAGATAGGTTGATTCTAGTGACTCAAGTCTGCACCATGGTGTTGGAGGCAGATAGCACTTGCTATTGCTCCAGGTCACAACCTCTAGAATGTCTTCTAATATACAACCATAATTTTTAATGGTCTATCTTTTATTTTATATTACATGGACATGTCTAGCATGTAAGTATGTGTCTAAGATTATGAGTTTTTTAATACCCTATCCCAACAACACCAGGATGGGTCTGAATATCTAAATCTATATTCCTAGGGTAAAAAGGTGTTTTATAAAACATAGTGTTCAAAATAAGCATTTCACTCATTTTGAAGCAACTATGTAAGGAAGGAACATAGTGAGAGAGTTTGACGTACAATTATGTAGTAATTTCAACTACCAGAAATGCTTGCTAGTTACACCTTACCAGAAAGGTTAGAAATATATCCTATACCCATTCGCATGCTATTTATCTAACAATAGAACTTCTCACAGCTAGAAGAGTCCATGTAACATACTTTATATGTCATATTGGGGACAAAAAGAAACATAAAATGCACCTTTACAGATAGAATTTTGAATCTCCACAACTATCACTTCTTACGCTATCTCAAACACCAAAACACTCTGAATTTCTTCTAGAATTAGTTGTGATTATCTGCAAAAGGTTTTTTTTTTTTTTTTTCCCTTTCTGTGAAGCCTGATATAAAGGCTTCATCATGGAAACTTATTCTTACACGAAATTCTTTAAGAAAAAACCATGACTTGCATTATTGCACTTTCCCTGATGCATGTCACGAGTTGCATTTTGAAGCTAGCCTTAAAATTCATAAATAGATATTGATGTTACATGGACTCTTCTAAATGTATGAACTACTAGTGTTAGACACTTAACATTAGGGTGAGGATATGAAATAATGTGTTTGACGTGTGTAGTCGGACAATAAGCCAACAAGCATTTTTAGTAATTCGAATTTTCCATAAAACCATGCATTAACCTCCCATATTATGCATGAAATTCTCTAACACCTTGTGAACACCATTTTAACCTAGAAAATAAAATAAATATATTAACCCATGATTTCAATTTGAAATGCCATCCTTGAAGAGACCATCCTGTTTGATTCTACAAGTTTCTGATGTTTATTAACATTTTCCTATCAGGGAAATAAACCAGCCAGCAACAGCCAGTTTTACTCAAACCACAAGACTTTATCACATTTTGCACGGCTTGCAAAAGTGTATAAAGCTTGGAAGTTTTACAGGATCCAACTTGTTAAGGTGAGACAGAATTTCGTAGACAGTCTTTGCATAAATTATTGAATAACGTTGCGGTTGCACTGATGTATCTAAGACCATGTGTTTGTTTCTTAAAACAGGAAGCTTCTCAGAAAGGCTTGCCTGTTTGTCGCCACCTATTCCTTCATTACCCAGATGATGAACATGTGCATAGCTTGAGTTATGAGCAATTTTTGGTTGGTGACGAGATATTAGTTGTGCCTGTTCTTGACAAAGGAAAAAAGAATGTGAAGGTGTATTTTCCTGTAGGAGAAAGTTGTTCTTGGAAACATATTTGGACCGGAAATCTATACACGAAACAAGGTTCTGAAGCTTGGGTAGAAGCTCCAATTGGCTATCCTGCCATTTTTGTCAAGGCTGACTCAGTCATTGGAGAGACCTTTCTAAAAAACCTAAGAGAATATGATATTTTGTAAAGATTAGCGACCTTGAAAAGTGTTTCTCATCCATCTCAAAGCAACATTTTTTTTTACTAACTACTAGGATAATCAATTCTTTTTGTTGATAACAGAATATGTTCATTGAAATATAATCCATTCAATGCTATTATTTCAGTTTTGGGGGTAAACTGACACCTCAGTATGCTTATATAAAACTTTTAGATCCTACACATGGGCTTTCATTTTCCAACACTAAATAGTTTTACAACTACAATAAACTTAAACAAATGAGGAAAATGGTTGTGACCACACTAAACTTCAAGTAACATGCATAAAATCTAAGGAGTCATATTGTGAATTCTTTTCACATACTCTTTACCTTGCACTAGATTAATATTCTTATCATATGGTTACTTATACTTTTGTAACAGTCAAAGAACCATTAAGAGAACAGCAACACTTGTTTTCAGGATCTAAAGAAATACCTACTCCATGCAAAAGCAAAGAATGTTCTAGCATGCACTTCTGTTCTGATAACAATTAATTGGTATCTACAGTGATTACATCCTCCCATCATGATGTTGAAATGCTATGACATTAAAATTTTATGTCTACATATGGGTAACTTTGCTGTGTTACATCTTCCAGGATAAGAATAAAAGCATACAGGAAAATCCTTCAGTTGAAGCATAAAATATACGATTTTAACACTTAATATGGAACTGATAGCCAATGGAGTTGTTGAAATGCTAGTAAAAGGTAGGGATTTCCGCAAAAACTTCAGGGAAAATATAAAGAAGGTTAAAAGAGTGAAAATGAGTACAAAAATGCATGTTATACATTTGAAGCAAATGAATCTAAAGCAGTAATCTCGTGAATAATTAGAAAAAATGTCAAATGACTTCAATATTTATAAATAATTGAATATCTGACAATACAACTCAAGCTAAGTCAGCTAGAGGAAAGACTTAAATAATTTCAGAGACTATATGACCCTCATTTCTACAATAATTCCCATAGTATACTTATCACTTCACAGACTACCCTCATTTGTACGCTAATTCCCATAGTACATTTGTCACTTCATCCGGTAATAATACCTTAATACTCTTTGCCTAGCATATCCAACACTTCCCTAGAGTAATTGTTTAGAGAGACTACACTTTGGGTCAATTGATGTGTAGTAAATTCCACTTCCAAAATGTTTGTAGGAATCATTGACTCACACATCAACTTCTAATATGGAATATTTAATAACCATTATTAGCAAATGCGCTAACTCCTGTAAGTAGAGATAATGAGCATCATAAACTTTTTTCCTTAGTCAGTTTCCCAACAAGTTCAATAAATACATCAAGCCCAAACAATTCAAAGCCTACTTTGAACAAGAGAATATTTCTTGTTATTCATGATCTAGTTTGCATAGCAAATAGGAATTTCCAATGACAACATTGTTAGGAAAATGAGTATGAGTATTACCCCCTTTGGTCATTTTTGTGGCAATTTCATTTCATTGAGTCTGTACTTCATATTCTTTTAGCTTAATTGAGTTCATGAGAAAATTCCCTAGTTGAAGATTCAACATTGAGACTGAGCTAAAGTAGTGATTCAAAGAAGACAGACTTGATGAGTAAGGTAAATCATGCATTGCATTATCAGAGGATCAAACAATTGGGTAAAATTTTATCCAACTTAGTGCTAAAAGAAATAAGTTCGATAACTGGCTAATGAAACTTAAACCACCATTTCTCTTCATGGCATGTGACCGATTGATTCTTTGTTAATGCCATATTCTTCATTCTGTCAACATAAAGTAAAATAAATGGTTTCAACTCCCATTTCTTAGTATTTTGAAGAGATAAATTTTTCTATGACAAGGGTAGCTTCATCAAAGTATCATACCAACATTCCAATTAACATAGCAGAATGCACCTAATTCAACATAAAAAATGATGCTCCTAAATGCAAATTTGAACCAATAGAAAACCCATTTAGACCTAACACCAAACAATGCGTGTACATCGACATGATGCTTCTTAATCATAAAATACTTGCATAAATAGCTATATTAAATAAGAATTGTCTTAATAAATTTCAGCAGAATAATTTAAACGGTGTTCCTCGGAGAATGAACCCCAGGAAGGTAGAGTAGAATTTAATATGATAAAATATGAAATGATAGTCAAAATGAATGAATAAGGTCAATAAAAGTAAATAAATAAATAAAAAGGTTTCTTCTTTTCATGCTTCCATAACTTTGTCAGCAGCACAGATTCCATACTGTGAAGATAAACAACACACAAAGATTTCAAAGTTATGCTCTTAAATATTGAAGACAAATCAATTTTTGGGATACTAAATAATTAGATTCAGTACAATCAATTTGATTGGTCAAACAAATTCCAACCACAAATACCCAACTTTCTCACTTGTGGGCATTCAACTGGAAAAAGGCATATGAATATGACTTGGTGCAGTAATGGGTTGTATTTTTCTATTTTCAATAAATATGAAATTCATGACAGCTAAAACTAGAGCAAGCAAGTAAAGAAAAATAAAGTAGCATTATTGAAGAGAGCATGTTACCTTGATGAAGAGTAGAATGCATTTGAGATAAAGAAGAGTGATTGAAATGGGTTTTGGAGAATCATCAACAGAAGGTGTTAAACATGAAGTGAACTTTCAATTTTCTTCAAAGAGCATGTTGACTTCTCAACTGATTCCGGATACTTCGTAGGATATTCTCTCTTGTCAAAATGATTTAATAACAAATGTTGGCATATCATTTGCTATGCTTTTTGGAGTGGATTTTCAGACGTCATTATTTTTATCCACAAACAAACAGGAAAAGAAATTCACTTGAGGTGGGTTCGGTTCATAGATTTAGGTCAAGTTTTGCATATTTTAAATAATCTATTTTTTTATCATATCATTTCTTTATTTTTTTTACATCTTTTTATAAAAAGATAAAAAATACATTTATTTAGGTTAAGTGAGAGATTTAGAAATACAAAAGAAAAAAAGAGATAGTTTATTTGGGAATAAATTATTTTAGTTAATTTTTTTAATTATTTTAATTTAGTTAATAAAATTGTATTTAGGATTATCGTTGGCTTTTTTTTTTTTGTAGTTAATTTGATGATTGTGAAAGAAAAAGTGAAATAATTACGGTTTGAATATGACATTTTATCTTATTAGTTATTTTAACCTATTTTGTCTTTATTGACTATTTTAGTCTCAAATCCAACTTTCCAAACACTCTCAAAATGTGAATGAAATACAGTTATATTTCACACACTTTTCATATATTTTTTCTCTTTTCTTTTCTAAATCTCTATCCAAATTCATAGACTAAACACAACATTAGTCTATGTTAAGTATCAAAATGAAATAACCCCAAGGGTTTGGCATAGTAAATGAGGTTTGGAATTTGGGGAGTTTGCTTCCGTGAAGATCTTAAATTCGACTCCCCTTTCTAACAAAACTCTCGGTACCACAGATTGTAAGGAATAAATATGGAAAGACCAAACTTAGTTTAGTGTGCGCAGATTGACTTAAAATATCTTATATAGCCAAAAAAAAGTATAACCTGACCTAAGATATCCTACATATCCACATAAAAAATAAATAAAAATAAAAATAAAAAATTGAGATCAGTTGAGTCAAATAATAAGACATTTTAAGTTTGGCTCGAAAATTTAACGAATTTCAAAATATTCTTAAATTTGACTTGTTTACTTAACAAGTCAATTTTAAACAAGTTTTTAATTAGCTGAACACGAGTAACTTAAGTTGTTATAATGCATATAAACTTATCGAGTCGAGTAATGAGTTGTTCAAATTTAATTTGAAAACTTAATAAGTTTAAGATTATGTTTAAATTTAACTTATTTACATATCGAACTGCACTTATCATTTGAAAATAAATATATAACTCAAGTAATTTGTGAAATAAAG